TGCTGGGGGGAGGCTCAGGGTGGGAGTGCCTGGGGACAGGCGCTGAGCCAGTGAGAAATCCGGCAGCCATCTGACCGAGTCCAGTCAGCACCCACAAGTGAACTTGGACAGGGGTCCGTCCCCAGCCTCGGGGGGACCCTGAGTCAGAGCATCCGCTGGCCTGAGCCCGAGTTTCTGATCTGTAGAAACTGAGGCAACACCTTGGTGTGGGGACACCAAACCTGGCACTAATCTGCCATGCAGCTTCAGATAACTTAGAGAGCGTGGTGGATACGCAGCGCCCCGTTCACTCACTCAGTGACTGCGTGACTGGCTGGGAACACTGTTCTGCTGCAAGACAGCCATCCCCATAGACGCCTGTACAGTGACGGGGCCTCCAGCTCACAGTAGCGCTTGCAGAACAGACACGCAAAGGAAAATATTTCCAACATACATATTCTCTTTGGAAGCCACAAAATATATTACGATTTTAAAATGAATGAAGATAATGAATTTTAAACTCTTCTTTTCCTCCTCCCAAAAGAGTTTTGGAAGCATTCACATTTGTTGGTTATGTCTCAGGATAGTCACACGGCTGCTCTATGCCGGGAGGCCTTTGTAAGGCAATTCCCCACTAGCATGTCATTGCTCTAGTCTCTGAATTCAAAGTTAAAAACAATGACCATTTCCCCAATGGGTAGCTCAGGTTAAGAGAGTCCTTCAAAACACTAAGAAGCGTTCTGAAGTTCCATGTTCAAAATAGAACTCATTTAGCAAACGTGGGCTCTCTGGAGCAGAAACGACGCTTTGCGAGGAAACGCGTTGGTCTAAAGGAACACATTTTTCGCAGCACGGGGCGGGCCATGTGCGTGAAAGCACAATGTTCGTGCCTTCACATCCAGACTTACCAGCTACGGACCAAAGACACCTAACGCCTGGAAAAATGAGCAACTACGCTCGGGCTACGTTTCCTCTAATCCACTGGATAGCTGACATTTTAAATACTGCTTTTAAAGAGGTTTGTTTTGTTTCGTTTTTCAGATGAGCTCTCACTCTGCCGTAATCCTCCCCTTAGCTGGACTGCTGCTCCTGTGCCACTGCACCCGCTTCAGGTCGGGCGGAGACCTGGGCCTCCACATGGCCTCGGCCCACAGAGCAGTGGCATCTGGGCACAAGCCACCTCAACGGGGCTAACAGGTACTTCTGACACTGTCAGTAAAACGTGGGACTGACAGTTGAAACCAGCTACTTGGGTGTGCAGGGACATCTGCCGATGACAGACTTACACGACAGAGGAGTTCGTAGGAGAAAAGTGTGCTCACTGGCACGTCCTGCATGTCCAGCATGGACACAGACGTTGCAGAGATCTGTTTCCCGTCTGTGTAGAGCATGTGCCGGGTGGAGCTCCGAGTACCTGGAGCCACTTGGTCAGTGCTAGGTGGGTCAGC